TCCTCTTCATCTGAATTTTGACCTTTTCTAAATCTGAGGCAGTATAATGGACTAACCTGCCTTTCTTGTGGTAGAACCAGACCAAGTCTCTTCCTTTCAAAATAGTGCCTTTGTTTGTTTGTTTTCCTAAATAAAGGTCGCCTTCTGTCTGAGTTCACACTATAGAACATCCACAAAGTAGAAAGCATCCATTTTAGGGTCATTTCCGGGGAGTTGGGGACAGAATGGTAGAGGGGTCACAGCAACCACCAGACTAGTTCATTTCATGCGATTCTGGATTGCCCAATGAACTCAGATTCCCAATGACCTAAAGAATTTCATTTTGTAAAAACCTGACACTTTTAAGTAGTTTTGCATAGTCAACAAAGACAGTAGAAATATTGTCAAGTTACGAACTAATCATATCAGGAGCTTAATGAATCATTTCTCACCTAGGCTCAACAAAAGTGTGGCTTTAGTGTGTAGCCTGGTAGGCAGTATGTCTTACGTGCGCTCCTGGCAAGGAAAAGGGAGATAGGTAATTTTAAGAAAAAAGTGTCCTATATGTAGTTTATCCAAAGGGAGTTATTTAAAGTGCATATAAAAGAATTTTTTTTAAATCTCAGGTCTCAGCTGTTCCTCATGGTCCTTTTTTTTTTTTTTTCAAATTAGAGAAACAAGGAGTTTGCCTAGAGATCAGAGGAGAGACCTTCAAATACAAAGTCATCCTAGGTTTGTTCTCATTGGGGCCATTTTGTTACCTGCTAAAAAATGCAGTACTTTCTCACATGCAGGTGTCAGATTCTGATCTGTGAAGTTCCCCTGGTAACAGGGAAGCTAGGGAATGTGTTGTAGGAGGGCTGGCATTTGCAGTGTAAGTCAGCATGTTGAACTGTCTCCAGGGGAACCGACTGGTACGTTTGCTCTCCTTTCCAGCCCACGGGAATAACAAGGTCATGGGCAGAAAACCTCCTGAGTTCAAACGATGCTTAAATGATTACTTTTTAAGTAGATGCCAGCACTGTTGTAGGCCTTGGGGGATACATCAGTGAAGAAGACAGACAGGCCCTGCCCCGACAGAGCTTGCGTTCTAGTAGAGAAGACAGGCAATAGACAAAATAAACTGCAGTGACCACTATGAAGAAAATCAAGCAAGATGACATAATAAAGTGACCGGGAGCTACTTTACTCGGCGGGACAGTCTTCAATGAATAGGTGACATTTAAGTTGAGACCTCAAGGACGAGGAGAAGCAGCGATGAGAAAACGGTGGGGCAGGAGTGTCCCAAACGGAGGGACAGCTGGTGCGAGTTTGCTAAGACTGCTGGTTCGTGGGGGTCAGGTGCAGTGAGTCAGGGCAGCCCTGTGTGGCGTGAAGTTGTGGAAGTGGGCAGCGGCCGGATCGTGTGGATCCTCACAGGCCAGAGTAGGGGGTGTTGGGTCTGAAAGCAAGCCCCTGAGTTTTGTGTTAACTGGTGACACTGATTTTATTGAGGGCAGGTTGATGCTTGAGAAAACAGCAAAGCAGAGCAAGAGTCTGTGCAGCGGGTTAGAGGTATAAGTTTAAGATAGGACTCTCCAAAGTCAGCTTAGCCTGCGGCGAAATTCTCAGCAGCTGGGGAGTCGCCGTTTCGGAGCTCTTGGTTTAGGCTTTTTGCTCAAATTGTTACCGAGTCCAAGCTTGCTCTGCTCGCCTCACAACAGGTCAATAAATTGGGAGACGAGGTGTTGAGGCAAGGGGTATGACTTTATTCGGAAAGCCGGCAGACCGAAAAGATGGCAGACTAGCGTCTCCAAGAAAACCGTCTTATCGGAGTTTGGATGCCAGTTTCTTTTACAGAACAGAGCGGGGAGGAGATGAGGAAGTCAAGTAAAAAGGCCATAAGTTTTGCAAATATGCCCTGGAATGGCCGGCCTCGGGGAGGGGATGTGTTCATTTCTTCTTTCTTGCGGCCATCCACAGGTGGACAGGGTCAGGATGCTTCCCTGAACAAAGGCACTTTGGTTTAACATTCAGGCAGAGGGGCAGGGTTCCCTGAGGCAGGCCATTGTGTATAGACAGTATCCTTTAGTGAACAAAAGCAATGGAAGCAAAGGTTAAAGTAAAACAGATCCAACATGTAGTCAGATTTGGTTCTTCCCTGTTACAAAATCTGTACTCCATTTTGTTCCTTGATTGTCTGTATCCCTCTCACCTGTGTGAGGCACTGGCTGGCACCAGTATCTTGTTTTGAAGACAAGATAGTTTCAAGAAGCTACAGTGGCTATTAAGTCATCCTAGAATCTGTTTTCAGAGCATTTGGAAACACAGAAACCTGTAAAAAACAAAATCAAACCAACTTTAACTATCGATCAAGCCCTATTTAGGAGTCTCTGTTTCCTCCATTTTCTCTGTTCCATCTTCTTTGCTGAACAGGAGAGTGACCAAAATGTCAACAGCAGAAGAGAGAGGGGAAGAATAGAATTCATATTTATTGAATACCTGTGATACACCAAGTAGTGCTAAGCTCTTTACATATTTTTATCTCATTTCATAGTCACAACAACCCTATGAAGTGGGAATTGTTCCACTGATGAGATGATGAAGATCTCAGGGCTTAGAGGGACCTGCCCAGGGTCACAGAGCAAGTGATAGACTGAGTTCAAGTTCTGCCTATCCCTGGCCCCTAAGCCTCGAGTCTTCACATTATACCATATGTTTTACTTAAAATAGCCTTTCCCAAATCATCTTCCCCCCAATTTAACAGATGTTAGGCACAAAAGACTTCTCTGGACAGGTGTCTTTAGGAAATGTTAGGTTAAACAAAATTATACTTTGTCAAATTACACAACTTCTCAAAGCCCTTAATATGGGAGTACCCCTCGTGGTTGTCCATGAGAAAGAGAGTGCTGCATTTTGTAACTTAATTGGACGTGTAAACTTTTTTCATGCATTAACTGGCAGGATCCAGTGTTCCATGGGGCCTCCTTTGGGGAAATCCTGCGTTAAAACAACTAGGTAGAAAAGTGGACAAGAGACAGAAAGAGGCATTTTCACTCTGGAGAAAACCCACGTAGCCAATAAATGCATGAAAAGATGCTCAACTTCATTAGCACTCGGAAATGTAAATCAAACCCACAATGAGACTGGCAAAATGAAGTCTGAATATACCAAGTGTTGGGGAAAAGATGGATCAACAAGAACATACATGTATCTCTGGCGGGAATGTAAATTGATATAACCATTGTGGAAAACCATTTGGCATTTTCTTCTAAAGTCGAATGTTCATATACTCTGTGACCTCCAGTTCCACTCCTAGGTGTAAGCTTTAGTGTAACTCCTGCATCTATGTGTCAAGAAACACATTCAAGTGTGTTTTTAGTAGCACAGTTCATAATAGCAGAATGAAAAGTAACCACAAAAGCCCATCAGAATTGGAAGGATAAATTGAGGTATGTTCACAACATGAGTATTATACAATATGGCTAAATACAACAATATAGGTGAATCTTAGAAATATAAAGTTGATTAAATTAGAACCGTGATTTGCTAACAGGGCTCAATTCTGCTTGACTGGGTTCCTCTTAATGTTAAGTGGTGCTGGAGGTAAAACCCCATTTGGTTTCTTTCGTCATTGGCAGCATCAGTTGTTTTGAAACCAGATGTGTTTCAAACATCAGGCACCCCCACCCCAAGGTGATACCAGCACGTCAGAATATTCTCGACTCCAGCACTTTTCTGTCTCGTGCTGAGCCAAGAGCCCTCGTGTATTCAAAGACCTTTTCCTGATCAGAGAGCAGGTTTAGGAACGCAGCATATGAAATGTGAGCTGGCCTAAGGTTCTTTGTTTCAGTTAGACATACATCTCAAGAAAGAGGATCCAAAAGAAAGAAAAATACTCACAGTCCCTAAATCATACAAATAAATTTAGGTTTGGAAGAAGGAAACTGAACCTGTTAAACTGAAGGAAGAGCCATTGGCCTGCCATGTATTTTGCTGGGCACTTTTCCATCAGGACCTCACATGTGACACCCACATCCTAAATGGCTGGGATCCAGCTTCATTTGCAGCCTGAGTGCGCAGGGACGAGGGAGCAGGTCACTTCTGCTGCCTGGGATGATGGCTGAGACCTGACAGCTCTGTTCCCTGCCTGCAGCCCAGTGTGTTAGCTGTTTTCTGGCTTCACTTGGAAATGTCAGGGAATGATTGGTCTGGCCTCTTGGTTCGCTAACAAGGGGGCCTCTTATGGCCACATTTTGCCTATAGCAAGATTCAGCGTTTGATCTTTGGGATTTTTTAGTCAGGACTTTAAAAATAGGACCCTAGGGACTTACCTGGTGGCACAGTGGTTAAGAATCCGCCTGCCGATGCAGGGGACACGGGTTCGAGCCCTGGTCCGGCAAGATCCCACATGCTGTGGAGCAACTAAGCCCACGCGCCACAACTACTGAGCCTGCGTGCCACAACTACTGAAGCCCATGAGCCTAGAGCCCATGCTCTGCAATAAGAGAAGCCGCCGCAATGAGAAGCCCACGCACCACAAGGAAGAGTAGCCCCTGCCCAACACAACTAGAGAAAGCCCGCGCACAGCAACAAATAGCCAGCGCAGCCAAAAAAAAAAAGGACCCTAATGCAGCAGGAAATTCAAGAGAGACCCCACCTCTCCATTCCCCTTCTCTTTTCTAAATGTGCCTTTCTCCAGACATCCTTTCCCAAGTAAGAATTTCATAGTTTTTAGCAAATGAGCCAGCTGTTGGGAAGGATAAGCAAATCAACTGTTGACTAGAACTGGCCCTTGTCCCCACCCCCACTTGTAGATAGCGCTCACACTTACTCTGATGTTAGTGCCAATTACTGCATTGAACAGCTGATGTTTTACTTTATATTTCTCATCAAGTAGTGCTGGAACTGTTTCTTTGCTCCAGGGTCAGAATTTGTATGTTTGTTTACATGCCAGTCTCCTTGTGGGTCTGAATTACCATCTCCCCACTCTCATCCCATCCCCAAGTTCCTCTTACTAACCTGTTTTTCTTTTTCTTTAGACCAATGAGGCGAGCGCAGAGTCGATAGCATCCTTTTCTAAACAGGAGATCATGAGTAGCTTTCTGCCGGAGGGAGGGTGTTATGAGCTACTCACCGTTATAGGTAATGTCCAGGACTGTCATGCTCCCGGGGATCATGGCAGCCTTCTCAGCATCCTCAGGTGAATGTGTGCCAGAAGCTGTCAGCCAGTTAGCAGGATTCATGGAGACAAAACTGGCTTTTGTGGTTCTTCTATGGTTTTCTTCTTCCAAGTGTACGGGAAGAGATCATGTTTCCAGGAGAGAAGCTCTTTTCAATTTTTTCTTTGGGGCTGTACACTTCTGGTGTCCTGGGCCGTAGTCAGTTAGAATAGTTGGCTGAGAAGGAACTGATGGAAGAAAAATCAAGAAATAACAGAAATGAAAGTTTTCACTTGAATTGTCTTTTAAAATCAAGTCTCTTTAAGGAAGATGAAAACCTGTGTTGCTCTTGTCCCTGTTTGTGGCATTTCCCTTTTCTTTTAGGCAAAGGATTTGAGGACCTGATGACAGTGAACCTAGCAAGGTACAAACCAGCGGGAGAGTATGTGACAGTACGAAGGATTAACCTAGAAGCTTGTTCCAATGAGATGGTGACGTTCTTGCAGGTAATCGAGCGTGAATGTGACACTTGGAGGGAGGGCTCTTAGTTCCAGCAGTAACCACAAGGCATCTTTACATCTGTCTTCTGAAACAGCTGGCAGGAAACGAAGGAAGACCAAGCCAAGAAGTTATGGAAGCTCTTGGTGAAGAATCTTGGGCATTTGGCATTAAGGGTTCTGTAACACTGCTCAGCCCAATTTTCTTCACCAAATCCTCCTGTGACTCATTTATTCATGTAATTATTATTCAGAGAGGCTAAGTAACTCGCCCCTGGTCGCACACACTAGTAAGTGGCAGAGGCAGGCTTCACACACAGACAGTCTCTTTCCAGGTGCGGGGCAGCTCTCCTGGCCACGGGCGACCATCTTCTGACTCTTAGTGTCCTGTTTGCCTGAGGTTCCTTTCTTCTGGAGAAGCAAGCAGCTGCCCTCTTGTTAAACTGGGAGACACTGTAGGTCTAGTAAGTGCCTGGGGATGAAGGCTTGCCCTGGGAACTCCCTAGATTTAGGGCGTGGCTCAGTGTATTTTCAGTACAGTTGGCTGCAGCCCCTCCCCCTTCTTCAATTACAATGTTTTTCTGAACTCACGCTTATCTGACAGTGCTCCAGTACCAGTTCATGTGTTCAGAGTAGTTTTTGGGTCTGAGGGTGGAACAGAATGTCAGTCCCAGCTCAGTTATTTGGGAAAAAACATATCTGAGTTTGTTCTAGAGCATATTTGAGCTTTGTGATTCTTTTTATCCCGTACAGCCGTGGACAGGTAGAAGGTGCTGCCTATTTGACCTTGGCTCATTTCCCAGAGGCCAGGACCCTGGAGTTGCTGTAGTTCTTTTGTCCAAATTTTTTTTCACATCTTTTGTCCAAATTTATTTTAAAATTCCATCGGTCTTACACTTTTCATAGCTGCTTCTGAGGAAGGGAGCTCTCAGCCTGAGGTCGCTGGAGAAATCTATTCTAATGTTTAGTAGTTGTTGTTTGTTCTTTAATGCTTTCCGTGTTTCTATTGCTAACAACATTTTCCTTTATAATAGGAAAACACGTTTTTGTTTTATCTTTTTTTTTTAATTTAAAAATATTTTGGGTCTTTGTTGCTGCGTGCGGGCTTTCTCTAGTTGCAGCGAGTGGGGCTACTCTTCGTTGGGGTGCGCAGGCTTCTCATTGTGGTTTCTTGTCTTGTTGCGGAGCACAGGCTCTAGGCGCCTGGGCTTCAGTAGTTGTGGTTCGCGGGCTCTAGAGCGCAGGCTCAGTAGTTGTGGCGCGCGGGCTTAGTTGCTCCACGGCGTGTGGGGTCTTCCTGGACCAGGGATCGAATCAGTGTCCCCTGCATTGGCAGGCAGATTCTTAACCACTGCGCTACCAGGGAAGTCCTTGTTTTCTTATCTTAAAGAGGAGTTCTGTGCCTGGGCCCTTGAAGTTGAGCTAAGCTTATAACTTCCTAAGTCTGCAGTAGGCGGTTTGTTTTCATGGCCTCTGAGGTGGTGCACTATGACCCTCTGCTGTGTTGTTAGCAGTTTCCCTGTTGGCAGGGAATGGTTTCTCGAGGTGCTTTAGGATTGGCTGGCAGAGCCCAAGTTAGGCAGAAGCTGGCGAAGGAGGGCTGGCTTCCCTGCTGAGATGGCAGAGCCTGATTCCTCTCATACTGGTGGCACCTGCTCGGGCTGCTCCCAGGATTCTGAGCAGGGCACGCAGGGAGGCCTAGGTCCCCGTATTATTCATGCTGCCACCTTCATGTTGAGCGTCCTCCTCGGGGCCCCTTGGTTCTGACTGCAGCTCACCATTGCTTTCAGGGGGAGCTCCATGTCTCTAAGCTCTTCAGCCATCCCAATATCCTGCCATATCGAGCCACCTTTATTGCAGACAATGAGCTGTGGGTTGTCACATCATTCATGGCATACGGTGAGTGGGAAAGGGGTCCTGGCAGGGATGGGTTCTAAGAACCCTGCTGTCAGCTTGCTCATGTGCTGTCACCCTTTGCTCCGTCCCCACGATCCTCTTCCTCAGGCTCTGCAAAGGACCTCATCTGCACACACTTCATGGACGGCATGAATGAGCTGGCGATTGCTTACATACTGCAGGGGGTGCTCAAGGCCCTGGACTACATCCACCACATGGGATACGTGCACAGGTGCTTTCCTGGGCCTATTAACCCTTTATAAGAGTGGTATCTGGGCCCATGAGCCCTCAAGTAAAGGTGGACTGAAGGTAGTGAAGCCAGAGTTTAAATCAAGGCTCGAATCCTGCCCTTGCCTCTGCTGGGAGGGCGGAGCATTTACCCTGTCAGCGCTAAAGCTACTGACTTTCTCTTTACCGAGCAGCTTGGTCCCGAGTATGAGGGGAACACCTGCCGTGGGCCTCTGCACCCCACCTTCTCCTTCCTTGGAGCACCCATACTGGGGTGTGCCCTGGAGTCAGCCCTATGCTGGGAGGCTCGGGAGAAGACAGATTGCTCTGTAGATGGTGTCCAGAAAAGCGGCTCGTGGTAGGGGAGATAATAAAACTAGGACCCCTACCTAACTCCACATACAAAGGAGCACTTCAGATAGATTAAAGGCCTACATGGAAACTATAGACTTAGATAGAAGGAAATGCGAGGAAATACTTTCGTGACCTGAGGCATAACTTCTAAATGTTTTACATGCACAAAACATAAGGCAAAAAATGGATGGAATTGATAATATCAGGATTAAAACTTTCTCTCCAGTACAGGACACCAGGAACAAAGTTAAGAAAGGAGTTACAGCGTGGTAGATGTTAGTTTTGTCTAAAACACACAGGAGATTAGTAACAAGGAAATTTTGTGAATCACTAAGAAAAGGATAGCAAAGCAATAGAAAAATGAGCAAAGGATATGGAGTTTATAAAAGAAAACCTGAAAGACTAATGGTCGTATGAACAGACACTCAAATCTAGCAAGAATCAGAAAATCAAATTAAAACAGGAGGATGTCACCTTATACCTGTGGGACTGGCTGTAATTCAGAGGCTGGGTGAGGGCCAGTGCGGTGAAGAGGTGGGTCTCCCGTCCGGATAGTGGAAGGTGGTCACTCAGAACCAGGACCATCAGTGCTGCCTCTGGGTGCATACCCCAAAGAAACCCTCCCACAGGCCCATCAGGGGACATGTATGTGGACATCTTTGTTCATATTTGTGGTGATGAGAGGCAACACGAGTGTCCTTCCTGGAAGAATGGATTAGTAAGTGTTCGACCCCACCCCAGAGTGCAGGTGGCATTTAGAAGCAACAATTAGGTGTATACAGTTGGCAACACAGATGGATCTTGGAAACGTTACACTGAAGAATGGGCTGCATAACACGGTACCATTAGGTCAATGGAAAACGCATGAGAAAAAACAATACACTTTGGAGAATACCTACAAACAGAAAGTACAGATTAAAGGCAGTAGATGGTAGAGGAAGCAGTGGTCTGTAAGCATAAAAGAGAACTTTAACAAAACATAAATAAGTTTTAAAGTCTGGTGATACGTAAATGGGGTCATGCTATTTTTTCTTTTTGTGTATGTTTGAAAATTTTCATAAAAATGCGTGTTCATGTGTGTGTGTGTGTGTGTGTGTCCCTATGCTGGGAGGCTCGGGAGAAGACAGATTGCTCTGTAGATGGTGTCCAGAAAAGCGGCTCGTGGTAGGGGAGATAATAAAACTAGGACCCCTACCTAACTCCACATACAAAGGAGCACTTCAGATAGATTAAAGGCCTACATGGAAACTATAGACTTAGATAGAAGGAAATGCGAGGAAATACTTTCGTGACCTGAGGCATAACTTCTAAATGTTTTACATGCACAAAACATAAGGCAAAAAATGGATGGAATTGATAATATCAGGATTAAAACTTTCTCTCCAGTACAGGACACCAGGAACAAAGTTAAGAAAGGAGTTACAGCGTGGTAGATGTTAGTTTTGTCTAAAACACACAGGAGATTAGTAACAAGGAAATTTTGTGAATCACTAAGAAAAGGATAGCAAAGCAATAGAAAAATGAGCAAAGGATATGGAGTTTATAAAAGAAAACCTGAAAGACTAATGGTCGTATGAACAGACACTCAAATCTAGCAAGAATCAGAAAATCAAATTAAAACAGGAGGATGTCACCTTATACCTGTGGGACTGGCTGTAATTCAGAGGCTGGGTGAGGGCCAGTGCGGTGAAGAGGTGGGTCTCCCGTCCGGATAGTGGAAGGTGGTCACTCAGAACCAGGACCATCAGTGCTGCCTCTGGGTGCATACCCCAAAGAAACCCTCCCACAGGCCCATCAGGGGACATGTATGTGGACATCTTTGTTCATATTTGTGGTGATGAGAGGCAACACGAGTGTCCTTCCTGGAAGAATGGATTAGTAAGTGTTCGACCCCACCCCAGAGTGCAGGTGGCATTTAGAAGCAACAATTAGGTGTATACAGTTGGCAACACAGATGGATCTTGGAAACGTTACACTGAAGAATGGGCTGCATAACACGGTACCATTAGGTCAATGGAAAACGCATGAGAAAAAACAATACACTTTGGAGAATACCTACAAACAGAAAGTACAGATTAAAGGCAGTAGATGGTAGAGGAAGCAGTGGTCTGTAAGCATAAAAGAGAACTTTAACAAAACATAAATAAGTTTTAAAGTCTGGTGATACGTAAATGGGGTCATGCTATTTTTTCTTTTTGTGTATGTTTGAAAATTTTCATAAAAATGCGTGTGTGTGTGTGTGTGTGTGTGTGTGTGTATATATATATATATATATATATATATATATATGTATGTATGTATATGCGTATAGTACACACATACACCTGCCAGGGGAGAGAGCTGACTGGGTCTAGTGTGTGAAGACAAAGGTTTGTGGTGTGAGGGGCTCCTGCTGCCTCGTGACTCCCTCCCCGCCCCCCAGGAGTGTCAAAGCCAGCCACGTTCTGATCTCAGCGGATGGGAAGGTCTACCTGTCTGGTTTACGCAGCAACCTCAGCATGATCAGCCACGGGCAGCGGCAGCGTGTGGTCCACGACTTTCCCAAGTACAGTATCAAGGTTCTGCCGTGGCTCAGCCCAGAGGTCCTCCAGCAGGTCTGTGAACTGGGTCTCAAGGAGCCCCCATTCCCCACCAGCTCGTGATTCCCCAAGGAGGCCTTCAGGAATTTCCGAGGATGGGGGTTCCTAGAGGGAGGGCTTCCCTGGTGGCAGGGAGAACTGGGACGCCTCTCGCATGGGTGTTCTACGCCCTTGGCAGCTGATGTCGTTGCCCCCCACCCACGCCGGGGAGGGTCCCAAACTGTGCCTGAGGCTCCCTTCAAAGATGCTGCCATTCCCTGGGAAGAAGAGCGTTTGGGAAGCGTTTGGCGCTCTCTACATCCCTGTCCTAAGCAGGAGCACGTCCTCCTGCTGCCACAGAGCATCAGCAAGGCGTTCGTTCCTTCTAAAACAGCAGTGGCCCCTCAGTAGTACAGGCGAGAACGTCTCAGCAGCCGGTCCCAATCTGGGTACAGGCCTTCTTTTCCTCTCCCCAGTGTTTGCTCCACTCGCTTCTTTCTCTAAGAACAATGGCCAAGGCTACAGTGTGGAGTGACCCGTGGCTCTTTTCTCCCGATTTAGAATCTTCAGGGTTATGATGCCAAGTCTGACATCTACAGTGTGGGAATCACGGCCTGTGAACTAGCCAATGGCCACGTCCCCTTTAAGGATATGCCTGCCACCCAGGTGAGCCTGCGGCCCAGGGGTTTCCTTCTGCCTGCCTGCCTGTCTGCCTTCCACAAACACTTGCTGAGGAACTGCCACACGCAGGACACCAGCCTGGGATACTAAGATGAAAGGCCCAGTTCTTTCCTTCAAGAGCCCCCGCAGTGGGGAGATAGTTGTGTAACTGTTAACTTCTGTCAGTGGTAACTGTGGTGGTAATGGAGCCTGGCGCGGTGGGGTGGGGGGCGCGTTCACAATTTCAGGCCTGGAGCCCACACACCAGGTGTCTATTTAAAACATATAAATTAAGCTAACAAAGTTTTATAGATTTATAAAATATGTTCTATCTTCTTACCTTGATCCATGTACCTGGAAGGCCGGTTTCTAATTCAGAATTCTTAGACTTCTCAGGTTCTGTGCTACCACGTTCCAGTCAATACCTTTGCAACCTCCAGCCTGCAAGTTCTACTTCTGTTCATGCCCCTTTTAACCACCGCCCTTGGCTTCTAGGCATACACGCAGCCAGTGGCATCGTCTACCCTTGGAGACAGACCCAGGGAAGAGGGTTATCCAGGTCTTATCAAGTCCAGGAAGTGGACTTGGGTCATTTGGGCAAGGATTACCTGGGTCCCAAGTACCTGGAGCATGATGTAGACCTGAGAGGGGATGGGGGCAGGCGTGTAGGCTCTGAGTCAGCCTCTCCCTGAACCCACAGACTGCTTGCCCTGTGGGGAGAGGAGCAGCTAGAGAACGGCCAAAGGGCAGCTCTAGAGGAGGGGATCTGGGAAGGCTTCTGGGAGGAGGTGACCCTTGAGACTTGAAGGCAAATAGGAGTTAACTGTGTGAAGAATGGGAACTGGAAGGAAACTCTTTTCGGCAGAGGGAGCAGCATGTGCAAAGACCCAGAGTCAAGAAAGAACAGGACCGGGGCTTCCCTGGTGGTGCAGTGGTTGAGAGTCCGCCTGCCGATGCAGGGGACACGGGTTCGTGCCCCGGTCTGGGAAGATCCCACATGCCGAGGAGCGGCTGGGCCTGTGAGCCACGGCCGCTGAGCCTGTGCATCCGGAGCCTGTGCTCCGCAACGGGAGAGGCCACAACAGTGAGAGGCCCGCGTACCGCAAAAAAACAAAAAACAAAAAACAGGATCTGGGAGGAGCAGGTAGTTGTAAATGGCTGAAGTCCGGGTGCTTCTGGGGGGCTGCCAGGTGACGTGGTTGGAGAAGGAAGCAAGGGCACATCACGAAGGGCTTTGCTTGTGTGCCACGCCAGGGTGTTTGCTTTCTGTCCCAAAGCATGTGGAGAATTGCTGAAGGAGTAATAGCATCAGATACATATTTTATAAAGATGACTCTCACAGATGGATTAGTTCTGGCAGACTAGTTAGGAGGGTATGGAAATCTATCTAGGTAAGGAGTCTAGAAAGTCTAAATAAGACAGAAACAGATGCTCAGGAAAGACTTAAAAGGCCATTTTTAGGTAAACAAGGTACGGATGCAGAAACAGCAGTGTCCAGGAGAACTTCCTGAGGTGATGGAAATGTTCTATACCTAAGGCTGTCCAACGTGGTAGCCACTAGTCACCTGTGGCTATTGAGCACTGTGGCCAGTGAGATTGAGGACTGAATTTTAAGCTGAATTTAAATAAATATAAGTAGCTATGGGAATTCCCTGGCAGTGTAGTGGTTAGGACTCAGCGTTTTCACTGCTGGGGCCCAGGTTCAATTCCTGGTCAGGGAACTGAGATCCTGCAAGCCAAGCGGCATGGCCAAAAGCAACGAAAAAAAACTCTCTCTCTGTCTCTGTCTGTCTCTGTCTCTCTCTGTCTCTGTTTCTGTCTCTCTCTGTCTCTCTCTGTCTCTGTCTCTCTGTCTCTGTCTCTCTCTGTCTCTCCCTCTCTCTCTCTATATATATATATACACATATATGGCTACATGTGGCTGGTGGCTCCCATATTGGACAGCACAGCTCTATAAGGATTTCCAGGTTTCTGCCTTGAACAGCTCATGAGGTCCATGAGGACAGCAGTCCCCAAGGTGGGCCGCTTTTACATGTGTGGAGTCTGAGGACTTCGGAACAGCTGCCTAGCCCGCCTCTGGGTGCACTGGTCCTGTGCAGCCCGCTGCAGTGACAATCGGCCAGAATGAACCCCATCGGACCCACCTGGGCGTGGCACACTGGGGCTGGGCTTTAAAGAAAGGACCTGGCTGCCACCTTGACCCTAGGGTGAGGGCTCTACAGTTAGAAGGATCTGATGCCTTATAAAGGGGGAGAGACTGCAAGCCCCTGCCTTCCAACCACGGCAGAGGCGGGTACTCTTTTGCAGCCCTCCTCCTCGTCAGTTTGGCCTTGCTAGGGTGTGGCTGCCGAGTCAGTGGCTGGCAGTCCTTTGGAAAAGTCAGACTTTTTCCACTTCTTTCTTTACTTCTCCCGAATCACTCTTATGTTGGGAAAAGTATACTTGTGAAGAAACTCTATAAGCCTTCCAGGGGCCCCCTCCAGCCTAGCCCCTGGCTCTGTCCTCCCCAGATGCTGCTGGAGAAGCTGAACGGCACCGTACCCTGCCTGCTGGACACCAGCACTATCCCTGCCGAGGAGCTGACTATGAGCACCTCGCGCTCAGCGGCCAACTCTGGCCTGAGTGAGAGCCTGGCCCCCAGCCCCCCCAGGACCTCCAATGGCGACACGCCATCCCACCCGTATCACCGCACCTTCTCACCCCACTTCCACCACTTTGTGGAGCAGTGCCTTCAGCGCAACCCGGATGTAAGGTATGTCTGCTGGGCTGGGAGTGGGCTTTGTGGGGAGCCCAGGGGGCTCTGGAGTGCAAGGCCGGGTTCGAGAGGATGCATCTGTCCTGTAAAAGTCTGGGTTCCCGGGAGGAGTCCAGAGCCGCCTCGGCAGGAGGGGTTTGCTAGGAAGCCAGCCTGGGTAGCTCTGGCTGTTGTTTCTCGGTGAGCTGAGGGGAGCAGAGGGGGCACTTGAGGGTAAGGAAGAAGCAGCAGGACTGAGGAAATCCGGGGCACAGGGCTGATGCTGGTCTCTCCCCCCCTTTCTCTACAGACCAAGTGCCAGCACCCTCCTGAACCATTCTTTCTTCAAGCAGGTAGAGTAGCACTTTCCCAAGGCTCCCTGGTGGTGGTTTTTCTTGCCTGTCGTTCCAACCACCCTCAGTCCCCTTAGCTTTGGGGTCTTTAGATATTCTCTCCTCCTCCGTTCAAATCAGAGAAATGACCATGTTTCCAAAGCCCCTTAAAGGCGCTGCTCCTTCCTCCCATAGAGACTCTTGGCTCCAACAGCCCATCAGTCCCTGGGCCGTGGTCCCTTGCCCCATGATGTCCTGAGACTCAAAGCAACAGCATCCACCCCCAACTCTCTCTCCTCCCCCAGATCAAGCGACGTGCCTCAGAGGCTCTGCCTGAGTTACTTCGTCCTGTCACCCCCATCACCAGTTTTGAAGGCAGCCAGTCTCAGGATCACAGTGCAATCCTTGGCCTGGTAACAAACCTGGAAGAGCTGGAGGTGGACGACTGGGAGTTCTGAGCCTCTGAAGAAGGTGCACATTCTCCATCCTGGGCTGCGTGAGCCTCCAGGGCCCTTCCTGAGGGCTGGCTGCACTCCCACCCTCCTGGGGGCAGATTGAGCAGAAAGGACATTTCTGCCAGGAGTGTTGGCTGCTTACTCACTGGGAAAGAAATTCCTGGAAGGAAACTTTTTTTTTTTTTTTTTAACTGCTCCAAAGGCTTTTGAGACACAAGGGAATCCCAAAAACCAGGGATCGGGAGGGGCCGGAAAGCTGACGCTCCCAGTCCTGTGAGCTCAGGTGACCTGACCTCTTCAGAAGGAATAGATGCCGTTCTGGCTGTGGCGGCTGAAGTCCAAAGCCAGGGTTTGACTCACCCACCCAGGGAACTGTGCGACTTCTCCCCTCTCTGGCTCTCCTACCAGCCCAGGTGCGTCCTCCTTCCCTGCTCTCAGATCCTATAGGTCCAGAGGGGCAAAGCAATAAGACTCCCCTCCCCTCGGACCTCTCCCTAATAACTGAAGGCAAGGGTATTGTTTCTTTATAAGCACTAGCTTAAGGCTAGGGCAATCCGTCCTCCTCCCCCTCTTTGCTTGGGCCCTTGGTTCATCCCTGAAACCTTCCCTTGGTTCATCTTTGTAGCTCATTCCTTTCCCACGAAGAGTCCATCTTACCGACTCCTGCCGGCCGCCTTGGTGCTTCCTCCAAGGGCCATAATGTTTTGCTTAACCTGAGGGCCTGAGTCCTTATGCCGTGTTAGTTTCATTGCCAGAACAAATTAAAAGTTCCAGAGAATCCACTGGAGAGTGACATTGTTGTGTGTTGGCCACGCAGGCTCTGACGTGAGTCATTCCACCCCCGGTTCTGCCATCTGAGAGTGGTCCCACGAGTGCTTCTGGAAGCACAGCGGTGACTTCATTCATTAGCTAGACAGCCTCACAGCACACATTTCTTTTAAAACCCATAATGGATTTGTCTCTTGACTATCTAACGTTGAGACGATTAATTTTAGCCTGTGGCCATCAAACTGCTTTGGGGCTGGAAAGGTCTGAGTGCTGGAGACCGGCCGCTCTGCAGGACCACGTCTGGGCCACTGGAGCCCAGGCAGAAGAGGCTCACTTTTGTCAGGAAAGGCGGTGGACGGGGTTGTTTTGGAACAGGACTCAGTGTCTCCTCACCGTTGGGACTCATACTCAAAGAGCAGGTAACCTAAGACCCGGCCCCGGCCCTTCCTGTCGTCCTGGCTGGCAGCCAGGGAGTCCAGGCCAGGGGGTGATTCCCACCTCGGGCTCCTGCGTGTGCGTCCCAGCCTGCACACGCCCCCCAGCCGGGCTACTTGCCCCACCAGTCTCCCCGGGTGCGTGCCCCTCTCTAGCCTGGGTACTTCAAATGTCAGATCAAGGAAGTGCCCCTCCCTCTTCCCTGTAGCTGCTTTAACCGGTCAAATGCCCTCACTTTCCCTTTCCTCAGAAATTGTAACATCAGTTTTAAAAAGAAAAATAGAAAACCTCTTCCCCTGGGCAGTTACAGGGGTTGAGGGGAAGGGACTCGCACCAGCACCAGCACCAGCCGGGAGGGCGTGGGGAAACCTGAAACAGAGGGAGTGAGCAGGCCAGGTCACATTTATTTCCAGCCCTCTTGCCAGCTCGTTTTTTTTTTTTTTTAACCTCAAGTTCCCTTTTCTTAACACCCTCGGCAGCTTGTTTTTTTCCCTCTGATCTGCTTGCTCCACCTTGCTGTCGGCGCCCCAAGGGCTGATTCTGTGGGGGCCGCCGCAGTTCAGCTGTGGGTCATCCTGGGCAGGGCAGGGGGGCCTGAGGCACCAGCCAAGCGCTGCTCCTTGCACCTCAGAGAGCTTCACGTTTCTTGCATCACCACGGCCCCCTTAGAGCATCTGACGATAGGTGTGGAAGCTTGGCTGCTAAAGATGCCCGTTAACAGTTTTAGAAGTTCTCACACACCCCATCCAGGGAGTTCGGGGGGCTGCAGCTCAACCCAAATGTAAAACTTCCTCCAGAGAGGGAGGGAGGCTGAGGGGAAGAGTGAAGCACAGACAGGGTGCCCTGAGCGAGCCAAGGGGACAGCTGGGGGCTGGGGATGCCTGCTGCCCCGCTCCCTCTCCTGCCAGGTGAGCACGATGAGCTGTTCTGTTCCTGACAAGGCTGTGGGCCTCGCTCTTGAGCCACTAGTTCTATTCCTGCCATCGCATGGCAGCTATGCTTAGGGCTGTGCTTCGTGAAACAGTTTCCAGCTGCGACCGTGAGGTGGCTTCCCTGTGCTCCCCGCAGAGCTGAGGCTCTACCCCACAAGTGAGTAATGCTCCCTGGGACCCTTAGTACCGTGTGCCGGAGGAGCCCAGGCAGCCGGCTCGGCCTGGGGGGCAGGGGGGGGGGGGCTGGGGGGGGGCAGGAGGCCTGGCCTCTCACGCCAGCCCTGCCGCTCCAGCTTTGTTACTTGAACGAGTCACTTTAAATCTTCAGGCCTCGCTCCCTGTGTCAAATGAGGTTTGGATGAACCCAGGATTGCTTGTTTGAAGGATGGAGATCTCTTTCCTTGAAGGGGGTGCCGGCAGGGGCTGGGAGTTGGGGGGTGACGAAGCCCACAAAGTCCCTCCACAGAAGCGCTTTAGGACGGCAGCCTCTGGGCACCACAGCCGCAGGCTCCCGGTTTCCCTCTCTCCGGGGCGCCAAGAGAAGGCGCTGAGGGCTGGTGGCCGAAGCTGACCGAACACGGAGACCCCGGGGCCCTTCTGCGGCGCGGACCTCGCGTGGCCGGACCGCGTGCCCGGCCGCCCCTGCCATCTTCCTCGGCGGCCGTTTGGGCGCGCGAGGCGCCCCTGGCGGCGGGAGGACTCGGCGCCCGAGGGGGCGTGGGAGCCGCACGGGGACGCTGGGCGGGCCTCCGGGGCGGCCCCCGCGGGTCCTTCGTGCTGCAGGGCCCACGGAGCGGGGAAATGGAGGCAACGAAAGGCCCAGGCGCGCCGGGTTATCCTTTTCCGCCGCGAGGGCCTCGTCGGGAGCGCCATTTGTCCCGCGACCCCGGTCAGCTCCACCTGGACTCGCCCCTGGCCCTAGGCCTGCGGCGCGGGTCCTCCAGCTCCGGTTCCTGCCTCTGTCCGGAGCGGGCCGACGGGGCGGCCGGTTTCGCGAGGATGGTGAGCACCAAGGCCGAGGGGCGGTGCGGAGTGCTGGGAGAGCGGGGTCGGCGCTGGGGGCAGACAAAGGCGGGGGACGCCGAGCGAGGGGAAGACAAAGCGCAGAAAGGGGGTCGGCGGCGGCGCCGGGGCCCCGGAGGCGGCTACGGGCGCTGTGGAGCCAATGGGCGGGCGCGGGGCGCGGGGCGGGGGCCGGCGGGGGCGGCGCCGTAATAAGGCGGCGGCGGCGGCCGCGGCCGCTCGGGGACCACTGGCAGCGGCGGCAGCTCGTGCCCGCGCACTTCTCGCACCCGAGGCGTTCCCCGGAGACCGACCCCCGCCCCGCGGCCCAGGCCGGGGCCCGGTGAGACCCGCGGGCGGGCCAGGGGAGGGGCCGGCATCACGCTCGCAATCCGGGCGGCCCAGGTGGGGGCTGTGGGCGCGAGGGCCGCCGCCCACGGGGCTCCGACGCCGAGCGCCTCAACCCGTCGCGCTCGCCCGTGGCCCCGAGGCCAGCGTCCGCCGTCCGGGTCCGGCCTCCAGACAGAGGCGGGGCCGAGGTCCCTTCGGCTGGACCCGCGGGAGTCCCGGGTCTGGGTTCCGGTACGCGGGATCGGGACGGAGGAGCGGGGCGCGCGGGCGGCGGCT